TGTCTAATATCTCGGTCTGAGTTGTTGTGTGACACTGGTCCAACACATCAGTTTCAGTTGAGATGTGTAATTGGTCGAATACGTCCGTCTGCATTGAATTATCTACCAAATGCATTATGGTTGTCTCCGTCGAGACTTCGCGTAAGTCCACCATCATCCGTGCAGATGGTCCCGCGTTCTCGGAGACTTCAACTTCAGTGGCGATAGTGGCCGACCGTTCATTTGCAGCCTTGATCGCGCAGCACTGACCGAATTCCCAACAACGTTTGTGTATGGACACCTTACACACTATAAAACACCGGGAGAAAAAATATTCATGAGACAACAACAAACGCCGATGATTTATTTTAACAATATCTTAAAATGCAACGGTAATAATGTCATTCGAGTGTACAGGGCCATCGTAGAGTTTGATGAGGCCTATATAGTGGCAAATAGGGGTAATTATGGGGTTAATAACAAAAGCAATGGATGTTGTGGTCACCAAAAGTTCGGGGTCTGGGGCAAAATAGTCCCAATGCGCCTCGACGGCCCTGTGAGCGCATAAGGTATTGAAAAATTATTTACCAGTGCACTTGTACACATGCGATGAGTAAATCCGTCTAGTGTTGCATCCCACACATTTAAGGAACCAAGCACTCTTTGTTCCACGGTTCGTGATGTCCTTGCAATGATTGCTCATAATGTGTGCCCGGTAACTGTGCAATAAATTAAACGAGTTAAATAATTCGTATTCGGTTAAGTTCCGATCCATTCGACTTACGCCATTATTTCTCGTAGGTTCTTCGGTGAATTCTAATATTCGAAACGATATATTTTGCGATCGTGAAAATCAACTATTATAAATGTTCGATATCAACGAATAACTGGTATAGAATTTTGTTTTAGCAATCAACGCGATAGATGGTGAATTCCCTACCAGGCGATCAAACAATAATGTACATGCTGCCAGCATAATATTTTAAAAGCTAATAAATTGGTCGAAAACTATGAATATCCGTTTGATGTATTGTAAATATTAATAATAAAACTCTTTCCCGTTGATAGTATTGTTAATCGCGAATTTAAAAATGTCCACTTTTGAATTACATGCATGTATTTGCCACTGCATGATTATAATTTATCGTGTTTTTTAAGTAATGGACAACAAATGAAGGTAATCATATTAACAGTCAAATTATATTTTATGAATTTTATATTGTATTCTGAGTATTTATAAAAAACAAAACTAATCATTAGTATAATAAATAAAATAAAAATAAATATAGATTAATTGAAATGTTCTCCACAGCTCTTTTTCTAATTAAAAAACCGTCATAGTCGTACCTCATTGCACTTATCGGTACCTACATGCTTGCGATGTATGTATGTATGCATTTACATTTAATCGACTTCCTTGAAGAATACCTAGAAGAAGTGTCAGAGTAACAAAAGACAGATCAAAATAATTTAAGTATAATTTAAAAAATACGGAGAGGAAGAATGGTTTGTGATTATAAATTATGTAATGCTATAATACTGTTAGTTTTTAATGTTACATATTGGTTATTGTATTTTTACTTAACTTGTGTTAACTTTTAAATATTTTTGAGAATATGAAATTTCTTTTAGTTGATTTTTATTTAGATCATTCTCATTATATTGAATGACTCCCACACCTAAGCGAAGTAAGATCCTCAATTACATTTATATATTTATACATATATATTCTAAAAATATGAGTTTATCGCATGTACTCCCTTGTAAATAAATTTGAACAAAAAAATTCAAATTCATGGGATTAAATAATTTTGCGATTCAAGTGATTGCGGTGTTTAAAATTTACGGTTGCATATTGATTCCACATTTTTCTAAATAGAAATATTATTATAATAATACTAGCTTCTGTGTGCCTCACTCCGGGTGAAATTCGCTTAATATTTATTAATCAATTTAATTAATAATATGAATTATTAATATTAATAATATGAATTATTAATATTAATAATATAAAATATTTATATTAATAATATCAATTAATCTCAATTAGTAATAATCAAGACATTATTAAGTAGGTACAATGTATCCTGCAATACTACCACGGTTACTACTTGTGATAATTATTAACTATTGATAATATACGGGTGGAAAATTGATACGCCTTCGGCGTCAAAGGCGTTCGCTATCTAGGAGACCCCCACCTAATTGTTTTCTTAAAAATACTACGGTACCATACTTGCGGTACTATACTAACAATCGATGCATGGTGTCAAACGTATAAAAACCAATACAATAAATACATAAAACATTTATAAAAACATAAAAAAATGAAATAGCAGAGGGCAAACCGCAGTGTAATTGAAAATAATCAAACATAATAATAGTACCCTTACAATGTTAAGTGTCTTCTCAATAATAGTTAAAGGTTGCATATGTGTATAATTTATTATATTTATTAGACTGGCATAGAATTTCAAAAAAAAGGTATGAATATGCATATAGATATTTCAGTTACCGAATAAAATGTATATTTATGATAACAAAAACATAATAAGTGTCTTCTCCAGTAACCTAACCTATAGCAAAACGAAGGGAAACATTTATCAAAATAAATTAGATAATATGAGTTAGTATGAATCAAACTGTTCAAAATTTAACTATGTACTTCCTATGTAAATAATATATTGTCATGTTATTTTAGTTGTTAAATAATAATGTTCAGTTTCATTATAATTTTTTTTTTGTAGTAGTATATTATTTAGATGTTTAGTTTCAACTCTCGAATAATGTACTATGTATACATTGACACGGTCGTGTCACATGAATATCGTGATCTCACCCGTTACACCCCTTTGTCTTGGTGTCACCATTCGTTCGATTATCAATCGGGACGCCCGATAGATAATCGAACCAGTTTTCGGAGTCGGCGATGAGCCCCGAAGCGTTCACGGACGGTGTGACGACCGTCGAGAACGACGGTGGCGCTTGTCTGCTTTCTGCCGTCTTCGTGGCCTTTTACTTTTTCTTTACTTGTGGTTTACCTTTTGTCTTTTGACATTTGTTTCTTTTATATTTTTGTTACAATAATTTTATTGTCTTTTCTTTTATTATTATTATTTTTACAAAATAATAATTCGTGTTTATTATTATCAACATTATTAAACAACTTTTTATTTTGTTATATTTATTATTATTATTTCTTTTCTTATTAATTTATATATATTTCATTTTTTAATCTTTCTTATCTTTTTTTTCTTTTAATTATTAATTTGTGGTGTGTATTGTGACAACATTATATTTTTTCATACGTATTTTATAGTTACTACGTAATTACAATTTACAATCATAATCATAAACAAATTAATAGAAGTAATATGAATCACGTGCGAATCGCAAAATCTCGAATAGGAAAAAGTTGCAAAACAGCATTGGCAACCAAATGTATCCAGCCATCCAGTATATATGCTCCACTTATATTTGTTACTATCATTTACTTTGTCTATGTTGATGTTAAATTAAAAAGTGTTATATAAAATATCAGTAATACCGTAATAAGTATTCTTGATAAAGTTATTAATCTTACTATAAAATCCTTACATCCTAATATTGTGTAACCGTGTCGAACTCACAACTCGGCACACTACACTAATTGGTTTTAATAATTCATACTTGTACTTACTTTTTAGATAATGTCATTTATATAGATATTAGATAATATTGAATTTTTATGTTTAAGATTTTTGTGAATTATATTAATACTCAATAAAACATTTAGTAAATATATATATAAATAATAAATTTTGATAAAGTCTGGTTTATAAAAAGTTCAAATAGGTAATTGGGTAAATTTAGATATAAATAAACATTATTAAAAGCCATCTCAACATATTAGATAGTTAGTGCTGTTTTGATTTTTTTTTTTTTATATGTTTCTGGTATGTATAATGATTTATTTATTGAAATGGTCGAAGCACAAAAGGTGTAAAATACGTAAGTAGTGTGTTCAAATTTTGAATAGTTTGATTTCAAATTCATATTATTATAATAATATTATTATCGTATAGCGATTTGATATATTGATAACAGCCTAACATGATAGTGTGAATAAATTACGTGCATGTGCAGAATGCATAAGGTGCATTCCTGTGTTTAAACGCTCCTGACTAGGGTTGCCAGCTCTTTTTTACAGATAAGCGGGAAACCAGTTATTTATACGCGGGAAATGCTTACAAATATATAGAAACAAGAGAAAATGATTTTAATAATTGTTATCAGTTGTATTTAAAATTTAAAATATTCATATAAAATTAACAGAATAATCGTTATTTTAAAGTAATCATCACAAATTTTTTTTTTTAACACAAATTAGTAAATAAAGCACTTTTCCCAATTAAAGGTACCTTATCATAAGACAATTATTTTTTCTTTTTGAAAGAGTACTTGTATACTGAATACTGAATTGAATCAATAAATACTACCAATTTTTGATTAAACTGGTACGTGCAATCGACTCTATTGGAATTTGGGATGGAAAATAGTTTTAAATGCGCACAGTAAAAATGTAAGGCTTCTATATAAAAATACTTACACAGGCTTACAAAAAGCAGGACAATGAGCGTCCCGCATATACGCATCGGAGGACGCATTATTTGAGCCCTGGAAACGGGACGTCCCGCCTCACGCGTGACAGTTGGCAACCCTACTCCTGACTGAAGACCATACAGAATTTAGCTTTTTATATAATTGATAAGGATTTATCAAGAAGTTGTGCTGATATTCTAGCAGCTTGCCTTATATTTTTAACTATTCCTGTCACTGTAGCATCTGCAGAAAGGAGTTTTTCTAAATATAAATTAATTAAAAATATTTACGCAAATCTATAAGTCTAGAACTTTTCGGTGGCATTTCCATACTAAATATAGAAATGAAAAGAACTTCTTAGATATATGTAAAGGAAATCATGAACTTTTCAAACGCAAAAGCAAGAATAAAACCATTTTGTTAGATAAGTTACAAATTTGTTGAATTTTTGGGGGGGCTATAATAATTCAATGTAAAATAACCCGCAAGGGCTTTGCCCCTACACCTCCTTCCCATATATAAGTAAATATTGTTACCATTAGAAATGTAGATATGTTTAAATTGTATTAAAAAAACTCTAAATAACGTATATTTAAAAATAATTAATATTTTATTTTAATGACAAATAACTATTTGTATTAGCAAAGATACTTAAAATGTCATCGCTTTTTATATTTTTCGATATATCTTTTTTAATATATAGTATTGAAAGATTGCTGAACCTATCTTGAACCAAAAATGTCCTTAGCCGAGTTTTTATTTTTATCATTACACTGAAACTTCTTTCGCAAGTAGCCAAACTATATAATTGGTATTGTTAATGCTATTGTAAATAGTTTTATATTATTTCTTATTTTACGATTTTCAAAAAAAATGAACAGATAATTATAAATAAATTACAAAAACAATGAATAAAATTTCTAACAAAGTTTCGATTTTGGGAGGGCTATTAAAATATTTATGGAGTCTAAGCCCCCCTTGATATCCGCCTATGAAATGCATTGATTATACAATTTAATAGTTTAATTTTTATTTTAAATTAATATAACAATTAATTTATACTTGGTAGTTGAATTCAACAGAACTATTTTGTTTATATTTTTTGTTGATAGTTATTGAGATTGTGCTTTATCTACACAGTTTATTAAATTTTTCAAATTTTAAAATTGTTGAAGACTACAATACCTATGCTGCTCTGTAACTCCATACAAAAAATCGCATCCATACCATAGTTCTACATCCATTTTATTTTATAATAATGTAAAAAACTATTGAATTACATCTATAAATATTTTATGAGAGTTAAAATCAAAGATACAGAGTAGGTATCTAGGTACTTAAGTAATTTATAAATACTAAAAAGTTTATTTTTATAATTACCAGTATTTTTTTTTTCGTGCAGATTAAAGTATGCATTTCTAGCTAAAACATTTTAATTTTTTGTTCTTCCTCTTCCTGCTTTCCCTTCAACATTAATATTCATAACCACTCTTATTGCGATTGTTTCCTCTCATATCAACACCTACCCAAACCATCTCAGTCTATTTTCTCTTATCTTGTCCACTATGGACTTGAGCATATTTCATGCATATTCTACGTGTTTACACATTTTCCGGAGAAAAATTACCCAGTTGATTATAATAGTTATGGAATTTATATATTCTCTATGCCCTAATAGACTATATGTACATCATAGATTGTTATTGTAAGTACCTGCATTCAATGTTTTATGTGGGCATAATGTTAAAATCATAATTATTACTATGAAGTAATTTCCAATAGAAGTTAGGTACCTATCGAATTATATAATCAAAGCAAAACATTTGTCAATGACATTTATTTTTAGGGTAAATTAAAAAAATTTAGTATATTTTAATTTATATAAAAGTTATATAAAACTTAATCCATTTTAATATTTCAGATTTGATACAATACATCATGATCAAGAAGTTAAACCAGCTCACCGAACTTGAGACACATAAATAAAGATATTGAAGGATAAAAAATGTGTATAAAAATTCAATTGTTGAAATTTTTATTCTTATACAATTTATAAATTTTTTTTACATTTTCTTTACATCACTTATATTGAATATAGTAAATATATATATATATATATATATATATATATGAATATGTTTGTAAATAACAATATATTACATATTATTAAAAATAATTTATATTTTAAATTAGATAAAAAGACTGTACAGAAATGAATAGCTATGAAATTAAAATATTAAAATAAGGGAAAAAAAAATTTTAATAAAAATATAAATGACTGATTCTAATTAATTTTAATCCAAAGTACACTTGATTTTGAAGCAACTACTATTACTCTTATGTTTTCAAAATCCATAATATCAAATTTTATTATTTGTCCAATGGCTAATTTTTTTTCTAATAAATTGTTTCTTTTTTTGAGATTAATTAAATCGTCCCAACATTGTATTCGATAAGCCAACAAATAACTATTTTGTGTTCCTATAAACAAAATATTAGTATATATATAAATTGCAGTGGCTTTGGTATATTTAGGAATCAACCATGAATCAACTTTAGTACATAATTTATTGTAAATGCCATGAATTACAACAGAATTATTTAAACGACCGATAATCACCCCATGTACTACTGAAATAAACATGGTGCAGCTTAAATTTTTACATTTATGTCCAGTGACAAAATTAGTATTGTTGGAATACCATTCATACCATGTTTCTCGTACCCAACAACACGTATTTATATAAATGTTAGCATCCATATCAATAAGATTGCCAGTGTAATGTGAAGTAGTGTTTCCATGATACACTTCATCAGTTGTGCCATGTAACGGACAGACATTTTTACCTTTTTGATGACATGTAACAAATCGGTTGAAATCTTCACTTTCATCATAAATTTGGTGTTGAGGATTTAACATCACTAAAGTGAAAATGTTTTGAAGTTCTGATAGTGAATTAACTTTAATAACATAGGCGTTAGTCTTTTTCTCATTTTTTAAAAGTGATACTAAATATGTACAATTTTTAAAAACAACTATAACATCATATTTATAACAAATTATTTTATTTATAGCATCCTGACCTATAAAATGATACTCCCCTATGAGTGTGGTTTTGAAACTAGAACACTGCCATTGAAGCCAATTTTTGTATAACTGTCCATATTCAATTTCTGAAAGTGAATCTAATGAAACAAGTGCATGGAGTTTTTTATTTATTAGTTCAATAAAATATTTTTTAGTTATTTCTTTTAAACAAATTTTTTTCCACAGTTTATGGTAACGAAGTACATTCTGAACAATAGTATTACACGTCTCTGATAATAATTTGAATTTGAGCAAAGTTATTCCGTCAAAATAATAAACTATTCTTTCCATTATTTCAAGTGGAAGATGTAGTTCATTAATTTGTACTGGATTGTTTTCCTTATAAGTATTCACACTATATAATAAAAATAAAATAATTAATAAAGAAAAATCACTTAGCAATGATATGTTACAATAAACTAAATTAAGTTAGAAAAATCAAGATAATATTAACTTTAATTACTTATAGTTTAAATTTAAAGAAGAACAAGAAATTGATTCCACATAGTTTAAATCACTCCATGCTTTTAAAGAATTTGGATAATCAATTTCATTCAGTCTTGTTATTAATTCTGAATCAACCATATCAATTTTAGACATAATTTTTATTGCTTCACCTAAAATCAAAATTACTTGGGATTCAGTTTTGTGTAGTATAAGAACATATAAAAAATATAAATATCAGTTAGTAATTAATAAAGATATTTAAATTCTGGGTTAATGGAAAAATCAAGGTACTTTCTAAAGATCCACTAGAAAATGACATTTACTTACTATAATAATAGTGAAATGCAGTGGTAAAGTGTGAGTCTTTAGATTAGAGAGACATTGAAAACAATTTCACCTCACCCCTTGGACCCCCTGGCCAATTATTATTTTATTTCATCTATACTGTAAATCTATAAGAAATACATGTTCAAAAAATATTTTTTTTGTAGTTTCTGATTCCATTGCATAAAATCTCATTAATTAAATTAATGAATTAGTTAAATTATTAAAATAATTAAAAACAACAAAAATCAGTAAATTTCATACTTAAAAAAATATTCATTACTATTGGATACTAAGAGTAAAATTACCATGTTTAAGTTATTTAATTCCCATTGCAAATAATTGAAACTGGCATACATCAACTTAGTATTTTATATATATGTACACCTATCACTAGGGAACACTGTAGGATAGTACTTGCCAACTTATATCCAAATGATTAATGACTTTAAATTAAAAAAAATTAATAGTTACAGGGTATTTATATACCTTACTAGTGACATATTTTCAGGAGGGGATTTCCAGGTCTCAACTTTTCCCCTCCAGAAGAAAAAAGATTCAAATCATAAATTACTTGCTACGAAGGTATAGAAAAGAACATTCATTTATATAAATTAGTTCTAAATAACTCTTAATTTATATTTATAATTATTTATTCATACCTTATACCATATGTATTTTTTTATTATAAAATCATTTATTTTTTAGAAAAATGTAAGGCCCCCACAAAAATTTAAAAATATGCCACTGCACTGCCATATACTATTTCACCAAATTTAAAACTATCTAGTATAATAGTGGAACAATAATAAAATATATATAAGATAAATTGTTGGTTCTCATTTTTTAAAAAGGCCAAACAAGTGGTTTTACCCAAAGCATTTCTACTCTGCTTTAGGTGAAATCTATTTGTGAGGAACTGTAGTTACTCACAATTTGCAACACTCACACAATTAGCTGTCCAAATGCAGTGCATTGAACGGGGACAATTGATGTTTGTTTTCGTCTGCGAACTTAATCAAACAAATCACAGCCGCAGAACAGACAAATACGGTATCTCACTATATCTAGAGTACGTAAAATATCTTGCTCATAAATATTACTGGAGGCGATTTAATAACGAGTTTGAACGGACACGTCTTTAAAATATTAAAACAATTACGTAACACTGCACAATGCCGTTCATTCCCATCGTTTAACATGGTAAAAATGCATATCCATCCAAGTACTAGAATAGAATAAGTAATAATCTTTGATTACGACTACCTAAATATTCGAAAGCGTTGTCCGAAGAGAGTTTGCAACGTAATTATCTACAAGTCACAATTATAGATAACAGTTATTACGTTTTTCCATGATTATAGCACGCGCCGTCGTTATCCGCTATAGCTTCGATATCTCGTTATCTGCGCAGCTCGCGACCGCCCGTTCGCTCCGCCAGTCCATCACCTCCTCCAGTTCGTCAACGCCGCGACCAAGGTTTAAAGATAATCCGAGCGTACCGTTACCTGGCACAGGAATAACCTCAATCTGACGCGGCCGCAGCGTCTGTTCCATGGAAATGTTTAATATCAAAATGGACGTCTCCACTGTATCCTGATTGTTTTGATTCTCGCGTAAGTAGTGTATACGATTTGCAAATCTCTCTCCTTGCAACCAGTTTATCCGCACCGCGCCTGACTCGGTTGACGGGTTGTCTGCTGAACATCGACAATCTACGGTTACCCGACGAGTTCCGATGATAATTTAGTGCGCCGTTTTGTATATTTGGTGTGCGCATTGGTCTCTATAACTCTACGACTCCGCAAACGATAAATGGCTGCGACTAATTTGCCATCCGGCGAACCTGCGCCCGAAGACACGTCCTTGTACCCAATCGCTGTACTCATCGACGAATTGAAAAACGAAGACGTACAGGTATGTGTCCATAGTGTCCTTAGTCGTTGTTACATTAAAAACGCAATATTTTGTTCACTTATATCCCTGGAAGTTTCCTCGTTTGTAGATATATTTCTGTCCACCACCAGGCTATTAAAATATGTTGAATCGATTAATTTAAATTGCCACCAGTCTCTTTTAATAATACCTGTCATCATAAAATGTTTTATGTTATTGGTGGGTCATTAGGTTAACCGATTTCATACATTCTGGTTAATGAAAATCAGTTATTCTATAGTGTAGTACATACCTGTCAATTCTATTATACAATATGTAGTGTTGTTTGTATGCCAAACTATTCATGATTGTTGTTTTAGAAATTGTATATTGTTTGCTGATTTAGTTATTAATTTTGTTGTAAACATTATTGTTCAGTAAATGACTACATATAGGTACCTCATATAATTTTTGAAGGTCGGGTGTATATTATATTGACCACCCAAATAGTTATTGCATTTTGTATTACATCTTATTCAGTATTTATCACATTTTTAATTATTAAGAAAATGTTTTCATTGGCATTGAAATAAAAATAAAAACTTAATACTTATAGATGTTTCATTTGATTTAATGCATGAATATAAGTATACAATTTATGATAGACATATATCATAACGTAAAGTGATTCTTGTAGATTCATTAGTTATTAACTCTTGAAATTCATCAAACTTAACTATTTTAAATCTTAATTAGTTAAAATAACATTAACTATGCAACAGTATATTTAAGATGCCATTTCATGTATAAAATATTATTTAATTGAAGTACATACTTACAGATACTAAAAAATGCCTGCTCATTAAGTATAAAATTTAAAGTTTTGTATTTATATTTATGAATAATACACATAAAAAAGTGTTTTTGTGAAGAGAATAACTGATTCATATCATAATCATCCTGTATTATAATGGTATAGGAAGGGTATATCTGTGGGTAATGATATAAGGGTAATGATCTGTGGTAAAGCAAGCATATTTCAAACTATATATAAAGTATTTAAACAATCCACCACCCCTCTCCTACTACATAATATATATGTATATAACTATTCTATTGTATTATATGATTTTACTTAACTCCTTTCAATTACCTGTCTTCAATATGTGCATATTATATAATTTTTCAATGCACGTGATTAACTGATTAATTTAATTATTTAAATAATATATGTTTGTAAGTACATGAGCCAAGGGATGCCCATCCCCTCGATAGATTTCTAGGGCTAAGCAATTGGATTAGACAAACGTCTTTCACCACGCCCCTGGGTATGATATCTATTAGTAAATATTTTAATTTCCTCAGTTACGCCTGAATTCTATCAAGAAACTTTCTACGATTGCTTTAGCTCTTGGTGTTGAACGCACTAGAGTTGAGCTCATACCATTCTTGACTGAAACTATTTATGATGAAGATGAAGTTTTATTGGCGCTTGCTGAACAGTTGGGCAATTTTACCAATTACGTTGGAGGACCAGATTACGCCCATACGTTATTGGTAATAAATCAAGAACTTATTTCTTCATTTATAAAATAATGAATTTATCAACAATATTCTCTATAGCATCCATTGGAATCTTTGGCTACAGTTGAGGAGACGGTTGTTAGGGACAAGGCTGTTGAGTCACTTCGTCAAATAGCAGTGTTGCATTCTCCAGCTGATCTAGAAAATCATTTTATCAATCTTGTCATTCGACTAGCATCTGGTGACTGGTTTACATCACGTACATCAGCTTGTGGTTTATTCTCGGTGTGTTATTCTCGTGTTAATCCAATGATTAAATGTAAGTATTTACTGTAAAATTATTATGTATTATTAAATTTAATGAATTTTTTTAAGTAAATATTAGTATATGATATTTTAATTTATTTATTGGCATTACATACCAAAATATTATTTTTATTCTGTTTTAAAATAACTATAAGGTCAGTTTCTACTAATTCTATTAATTTTTGTTGTGTATAAAATGTTATTAAAAAATTTGAAAATTTGAATATATTATAAAAATTTGAAATATTTGAAGTATTTTAATTATTATGATATTTTTGATCTGCATACATTTATCCAGTTAATTATCATTCATATATTTAATTAAATTTAACACTAAGTTTAAATACTTAAATTACTTTATGAAATTATATGAATAATTTATTTTTAGCTGAATTACGTAACTACTTCCGTAATTTGTGTCAAGATGATACTCCTATGGTACGAAGGGCTGCTGCTGGAAAATTAGGGGAATTCGCAAAAGTTGTTGAATTAGATTCTTTAAAAAATGATCTTATACCAATGTTTTCATCGCTTGCTCAAGACGAACAGGTACTTAATAATTTGTGTGTTATGAAATTATCTGATATATGTATAACATATTTAATATTTTTTTATATAGGATTCTGTCCGTCTTTTGGCTATTGAAGCTTGTGTTAGTATAGCTTCATTACTTACACACGAAGATGTTAATGACTTAGTGATGCCAACTTTACGTTTGTGTACTTCAGATAGTTCTTGGAGAGTTCGTTACATGGTTGCTGATAAATTTACTGAAGTATTTATTTAAATTATATTTATTATTAATAATTTGTTAGCAACTACTAAAATATCATAAATTTTCTAAAATATGTATTGTCACATTTATTATGTTATATTTAATTCTACAATATTGCTGTTAAGTTTTTACTTTTTGTATTGAATAAATAATATCTAAAATATTATTGCACTTGAATAATTTAAAATGTATATCTATGATAAGTATTCTGCATTTAGTGATCAAAGTGCTTCAGTAATAACCTACAGATTTCCTATATATGAATTTAATTATTTGTATTAATTTTTTTTGTTAAATAATTAATTTCTTATGCAGTACATAATTTATAATTATTATCTTATCTATTTAAAATTTATGTATATTATTTTAGTTACAAAAAGCTGTTGGACCTGAAATAACTCGTATAGACTTAGTACCAACTTTTCAATCACTATTACGTGACACTGAGGCTGAAGTAAGAGCCGCTGCAGCCAATAAAGTATGCGAATTTTGTCGGAATTTATGTCCTCCAGTTGCCTCTGGTGCTTTATCAAATGATCCAAATGCTTCACAAACATCTAATGCAGTTGATTCTATTATTATGACATCAATTTTACCTGTCGTCAAAGGATTGGTTGCAGATACTAATCAACATGTCAAATCAGCTTTAGCTTCTGTAATAATGGGATTATCTCCTATTCTTGGAAAACAAAGGTATTTATATAATTTCTTAGAATTTATATTATCTATATGAATTTTTTTACTTTAGAACTCTTGACCATTTGTTACCACTATTTTTAACTCAATTGAAAGATGAGTGCCCTGAAGTGCGTTTAAACATTATATCCAATTTGGATTGTGTTAATGAAGTGATTGGAATTCAACGGGTATTACATTTATTTTATTCATTATTTAAAATTGTTTATGAACATATAAATTTAATATGCATGTTATTGGTTTTATTTTGTATGTAATATTTGTAGCTCTCCGAAACACTTTTACCTGCTATTGTTGAACTTGCTGAGGATCCTAAATGGCGAGTTCGTTTAGCAATAATTGAATACATGCCATTATTAGCAAGTCAACTAGGTGTACAGTTCTTTGATGATAAACTCAATAGCTTGTGTATGACATGGCTTATTGATCATGGTAAATTTAATTATTTATTTTAAAAGTATAGGTTTTCTATTTAATTTACATAAGATTGTATGATTTTACATTATAAAAAATGTATAAGGATTATTTAGGTAGCAAAATTAGTGAATCTCTATTTTATTGGTTATATTTATGTTTAATTGAAATTTGTTGTTTTGATGGTATTGGTTATATTGATTTCTTAACCAAAGAAAAAAAATATTTTTTTTAGAAAGTATTTCTTGATGGTATATAGTACTGTCTTTTGACATTATGGAATATTAATTATTTTGATTGGTTTTTTTTTTACCATAATTAGTTAAAAAATTCCAATTAAATACATCTCTTGCTTACATTTCATCAAAATAATATCATCAATTATTTTTGAAATTTTTGTAAAAGTAAAATTGTTCATGTATTAATTATAATTTTGTTCAGGAAAAAATTTTAATGATAATAGTAAACATTATTTTATAATATTCTTTTAAAATATTACTGGTGTTACAATTATTTGTGGTATCCAGTTTGATAATTATTAATTAATTTTTCATATATCATTAAGTATGTTAAAGTTATAAACAATTATTAAATGCTTTTTAATATTTATTTTCTCAAACATTTATAAATTATCTATAGTGTTATAAACGTACATAGATGTATATCCTTATGAGTTATATTGCCAATTACATATTAATAATTGCCAATACATAGTACGTAATAAATATTAAAAACAATTCTTATAGAAAGGCATCAGTATGAAATATTGTTACAAATATAAATAGATGAAGATCCTTACAACTCTTACTTCATAGGAGGAACCACATCAATCATAAATAATAGACATCAGGAAATTATCATAAATAATATTCGTATGAATAGAAAGGAATTATTAATTAATTAAAATCAGAAGGTAACACTAACACATATTATATATGAACTAAATGGCTACATTCCAAAGTATAATATAAAAAAGCAATTAAAAGAAGCACGACAAAATATGAGAGATGTAGGAATAGTAATTTTAGCGTGGTTATTAAAGTAATCAATTATAATAATCAGGAACAACTTTTACATAGCACGGCACAATTGATCCCCACAAGACCTGAGTATATAAGGGGGTTGCGAACAGATCAATATTCAGATGTGTTTTAGTCCTGTCCAAGAAAGCACCTTCACACCAGTTAACTTAAGTCATATTAACTTAAAATTATTTCTTATATACAAATATGTGAACTTAAATAAATACTATAACAGTTGTTAATTTTATGAGAGTTGACTTATTATTTGACAATCTTCACAATTGCATTAATGGAACGCAACAATAGTTTTATTAGTATTAAATATTGTAGAAAAGTATTTCGTCGTCATTATAAATTATGTAGAACTATGATTATAAGTGATATGAAGTGCACTTCTGTTATTATTTATAAGTAGAGACCAGATTTATATGCGCTTAAAATTTTAAAAATAAGATGTTCTTATGCTTTATAATTTCATCAAAATAATTTTTTATGTGTATAAATATGATTTTTCATAAAAATATATTAAATACTGAAAAAACAAACAAAAGTAACAGTTTATAAAAATTATAAGTTTTTCTTTTAACAAGGGAATTATAATATAGTTAAATTAATTCTAACTTTTAAAAAAAATATTCAAACTGGCATATTTAATCTATACCATGGTAATATTTGGTATTAATTGATTTTTATATTTTATATGTGTGATTATAGCACGTAGTCACATAGTAGCTGAAATTCAGATTTATTTAAAAAATTAAATAACATGTTTAAATAATGTTAAATAATAAAAATAAAAATTAACTGCTTATAAGTATCAAAAAAAAGTTCCTATTAGTAAACTTGAACGAGCACTTACATGTTTAAGTTTAAACATGTAACTATTTATAATACACTACGATATTACAATAATATTGTGCAGTCATAAGTCACACATGATGAGCACCCTTTATCTATGACCGTTCTATGTATACAAAAGGCCAGTCTATAAGTATAAGGCATGAATTAAGATCTATCTTAATTTGTGGTATAAGATTTTTTATGGATATCAGTGATATTTTTCTTTTTATATCTCATCAACAATCACTGAATAATTTATTTTCTTACGAATGTTATGTGCTTATCAATATTGCTTTGCACATTTTGTCTTGAAAAGGAAAGAGACTGATGGAAGTTAAAAGACATTTTTACATTTTTTTTGTAAACCTTGAAATATGCTTTTTTATGTTCTAAAAATTTTTGTATATCAATTCATAAAAAATTAAATCATCGAGAAAGTTTATTCAATTGGAGTTGCATATACTCATTTAAAATATAAAATTGTGTCTATTTATAAGAAATTATTATAAATAATATTATTATATTAATAATTATAATATTATATCTATATTATTATTCCTTTTTTTGTATTTTAAGATTTGACAAGATAACAAGAAATATTTTATAATAAAGATTGATTTTCAAGATTCAGATTTGCTATTTTAATAAAATGTTTTCTTTTACATTGCATTCTAGTATTTAAAACATGGTATTTTTTTCAGTTTATGCTATAAGAGAAGCAGCTACATTAAACTTGAAAAAGCTAGTTGAAAAATTTGGAGCTGAATGGGCTCAAACATCTGTTATACCAAAAGTTATACTTATGGCCCGAGATCCAAATTATTTACACCGAATGACATTCTTATTCTGCATTAATGTATGTATTCCTATATTTGATATTAGCTGTTTGTTTCATAATTATTTTTATTGATTTTCAGGAACTTGCTGATGTATGTGGTCCAGAAATAACTGCTAAAACTATGTTACCAACCGTTCTATCAATGGCAAGCGATAGTGTAGCTAATGTACGTTTTAATGTTGCCAAAACACTTCAAAAAATTGGACCAATTGTTGCACAATCGTATGTTTATAACTATTCACACTATATTAATTTTTTAAATATAATTCATCTTAAATATTTTTTTATATTTAGTGCTGCGGTAAAATCTCAGATAAAACCTGTTTTGGATAAATTAAATACAGATACAGATGTGGATGTTAAGTACTTTGCTGCTGAAGCTATATCAATAATTGCGTGTAACTAATATGGTTTTTATTGTTTATGTATATCTATCACCCTAATCAATGCCCAAATTAATTATTATAACATTGTTGTAGCTTGTGCATTTTTACCTTTCCCAATTTACACAAATGATTTTTTTTAACAGTAATACAAAAATAATAATTATCATTTTTGTAGATTATTTATTTGAAAACAATATTATGATAATTAAATATTTTTAAGATATCAATTTAAATTATAAAATAATTAGATGTACCATTTAATTAATATTTATGTTATAATTTAAAAATAAATCTATGTTACATAATATTAGTTATGGTTACACATTAATGTTGATTTTAGTTCCGAAAATTTGATTGCAACATTACAATTAAATTTTTAATTTATGTATTTATAAACTATTGAATAAAAACAATAATCATTATGTTTATAGCTACCAATAATACAATATTTTTCTTTTTAATTTCTATTTATTTGGTTGCATAAGATTTTAGTGGTATCAAAAACTATGTTTTAAATCAAATGCTAATGATATATTAACATCTTCAATTATTAGAATGGCTAAAAATGAATTGATGTTATAAATATGGATATGGTATAAATTATTATCATATTAGTTTGAAATATAAGACCTACTAAAAAATTTAAGTGATTCCATATAACTATCCTAGATAATATATCAATTTAGTAATGTTTTATTAAAATATACGATTCTTTTATCCAACATTAAAATTGTTTTATTTTAATTATCTATACCTTATTTATTAAAGCGTTTTTCATAAATTACAAATATATTAATTATAATAATTCATATTTCAGAAGTGTATAAAAAATGATCTCAAAAGACATAGTTAATGTCTGTCTTATATAATGTAGACCATACAAGTATAATATATACTTAATATTTAAGAAATTGAACTAAATTGTCTCTGTGTCAAATGTATTTTGAAATGTACACATGATTCAAACAAATAACTGTGAGTAGTTTTCAGTGTCGGTCTGATTCATCCAGATACTCGGCAATTGCCGAGGGCACTGATATTTATTTTTAAAATAGGCGCTCAACCTGCACAATTCTCTAACTGTGAATCAGGCTATTTCAAGAGGCCAATTTTTAGAGCTGAAAATGGATTATAAATTTATTCCTTAAAACAAAAAAACAATATGATCATATATTGGTTTTTTTAAGTTTATTCATAATTAATAATTGTAAACGTTTACCTTATTTTATGGGATCTGGCATAGAGATATTTTATTTTATTATATAAATAAACCAGTGATATCATTTGAGGGAGGGGGGTCGAAACTGGAGAATTTTTTAGTTTAGTTATAATTTCAACTTATAGTCGGCACACTTAAAAAAAAGAGGCCAATTTTGTCAACAAATATTAATTGTGGATCAGCTGACCTCCTGAACCTCACCTAAAACCCCCCGGACTTAAAGCAACCACGCTTACATAAAAAATCATAGTAATTATCTTCCTGAATTAAATTAAGATTATATTATTCTTATCTTAATCTTGAAATATTGTTGACGTAATTTAATAGAACTAGGTATAACTATTGATGTGCTGTAGGTAAATACCCGACGGGTATAGGGTGACCAGATTTAAAATACAAAAATACGGGACTAATTTTTTTTATTATAAATAAACATTTTTGGATCACAATTTTACAAGTTGTTAATATATTTTAGTATTTATTATTATCAACTGTTAATAATATAAATTAATATGATTTAAATTATATTTGAAGTTGATGCTTGGTTATTTATTATTATATTTTTTGACTTCTTTGGCAGATATTTTTCCGATGAATGTATTTGGTTTAAAAGTTTCTTATTTCTCAACAAAAAATCATGAAATTCAGAACAGTTCTCGGTGAAATAATGCTTTACGACTAACATGGCTTTAACAGTCTTAACATCGAATCGGCTTTTCTCATCTGTCCACAAGTTATTCATGTCGGAAAAAATTCGTTCAACGTTTGCGTTTGAACCTGGAATACACATTAAAAATTCCACAACGATTTTTAAATTTGGAAAGTCTCCATCAATATCTGCAGTTTAAAAAATATAAGTCCATTTTTCATCCAACGTGTTAAATGAGTTAACCTTTTGATTTTTCTGTAAATTTGTTTTAATAATAGTAAACTCGTCAAATAATTCTGCCTCATTTAATTTATAACTAGGAATAATTATTATAGTTTTTATTAATTGTAATGTATTCAAAATATTTTTCCAAGAGTCTTCTATATATTTTAAAGTTATCCATGAAACTCCATCGAACTTGTAGAGGGTTGGATTTGTCCACTCAATAATATAGTCTGAACATGTGTCAAAAAAAAATTGTCCGATAGTTATCATACGCATTTTGTGATTCATCTTTAAAGTTTTTTAGTATTTCAGTTTTCTTAATGGTCATAAAATTGTTAATACGCCAAGACTTAATTTTTAAAACCAAAATGTCTAAATGGTTTTTTACTTCAACAATAGACAAATTTGTCTGATAAAACAGTAATAAAATTACACTTAGATAATTCTTTTTTTAACATTTCGTCGATATATGGATAAAAAACATTTTTTATTGTTTAAGCTGTTTTTGTTTTACCACAAGAAAACTTTTTGTTGAATAATTTCCTAACAAGTTGAGATGTACAATCCATTGATCTTATACTATGATTATGTTTACATATATGATACGCAAAAACACCTTCATCGGCAGCTAAATTATTTTGACTTTCTTTAAAAGCTTTTGTACTAAAAAAATCACTTTTTGGGATTTCTGTGCGTTACCGGCGAATTTATGCCGATTTGTTTTAATGTGTTGGTTGATATCTGACTTACCACCGTGATCGATACTAAAAATACCACTGCACACAGTACATTCCACCTTATCTTCCTGGCCTATCTTTCGACATTTTTTAATAAAGTTGAATTCATTTTGTAAATTTTCGTTAAAAGTACACTTCCTTTTAGGCATGATTATTATTTTTTTTATTAATTTAATTATTATGTTTTACAGTAGGTATGATAGATACCAGAATACTATATATATTAAAATCTAGGTTTACAGATATAGCATATATAGCACATGAAAACAGAAGTTACACTATACGCACAAAACGCTGAACACTAACTAATGACAGCGAAATATAACAGAAATTGACATTACAAGAGAAATCATTTACACGTAAAATCTATTATAGTATAAATTTTACTATAATAATATTACATTATATCTTATCATCGGTCTTTCCCAGTTTCCCGACGTCATGGTCATCGCCTATATACGTGCGAACCCATAACGAGAAATACCAAAAATAACTTTATATTCGAATAATCGAATTCGATATCTATAGCATAGGTTGTACATAGGTATAATATACACATCGGTTATCGTAATAATAAAGCAAAAATCATGTTATTTTGAAAATAATTATACTTTTATTGACATTTAATATAGATAGATTAAGATTATATCTTTAATTTTACGTAATTTTCTTTACATATTTGCATATATAGGAAAAACAACATAGTTTTTAAAAAACGGGACGACTTATTATCCCGAAAGCTTATGTCGGGACAACGGGACAGATCTTTGAAATACGGTACTTTCCCATATAATACGGGACGTCTGGCCACCCTAGTCCTGTGACTCCCATTATTGATAATTTATGATTTAATATATTATGGTTTACACTATAAAATGCTTTTCTGAGATCGTTATACATGGCATCTACTTGTCTTTTGAACTATCGAAACTATATCAGTAAAAACAAAGAAGTACGTGTTCCAAGTACGCGTGTATGAAGTGAAACTACTTTATTAAGGGTTCGAGAAAAAAATTAGTGACATGACCGACAGGTTGGAATAACAGTTCGGGTCCATCATAGCTAACAATATATTTAAATCGAGGCTTATTGCTCGTAAACTTTTTTCCATATATTGTTAGCATTACCCGGGGTGCACCACGTGGAGATCATATATCTAGCATTCCTACATTTATAAGAATGTTCGTCTATTTTTTGAAAATAAATATGTCAATCTGAAACATTTAATAGTGATAGGTGTGGTGTACATCCTTAAGACTTTATATAGTTTTTTATCTAGAAAAATATATAAAAACAATGAATTAGAATAAATATATTCTAATTCATCAATTTCCATGTATTTGTCAGAAGATTCGTCTGTAGATATTTCTTTTTGAAAAGTAGATATTATTGGTCTAGGATAGCTGAAATAAGATATGTAAGTTTTTGGCTTTTCATTTGGTAGGTACCGTGTAAAAGTCGGATCAATCGTAGTTCCTGATCTTGGTGTCATTTGATCATTATACATTATTAAATTAAGTTTGTTTCGGAAAAAATGTATATGTGGTTTGGAGTGTTTTGAAGCAAATACCAGTAAATCATAATCTATAGTACGTATAATCTTATCATATGGAATATCTACAATAAGTAATAACAATACTAACGACAAAGCGTTTTATTACTCTATGTAATTAAACTGCCCTGGGGAATCTAACGGTTATTATTTTCTTAAACCTTAATCGCACTCACCACGATATTTCAACTTCTCATAATACTTCAATCCCTCCACCCCAATTTAACTTAAACAAAGCCGATTAGAATATATTCTCCCATAGAATCCTACAACCAGTTTAACCAAATAATCTTAAATGCTGCCAAACAATCCGTATCACCAAGACGCAAAAACAAAAACTTTGCCTCTTCACCTCTATGGTGGGATGCTACCTGTATACATACCGTCAATCTACGCCAAAGTCTCTTCAAAACTTCCTGTCTCACTGGTTCCCCATCAGATTTTTATAATTACAGTAACGCTTGCGCAACTACAACTTGCCTATTAAAAAATAAAAAATAAACGGCCTGGAAACAAATCTGCTTAAATCTTAATCCATCCTCCTCCTTGCAATATCTTTGGCAAACCGCTAAACGTTTCCGAAACTGCATCTAACCACCCACCCTTCCTCTAAATGACTGTTTTGACGATTTTTGCGTCAAAGTCACACCTATCTATGTACCTTCGGAAGAAGAATTATCAACCAACCTTATATCAAATGTTCCTTTTAGTACTACCAACCACTGTCTTAATATGCAACTAACACACGGCGAATTAATTTCAGCGATCGATTCCCATAAATCTA